GTGTGTGTGTGTGTGTGTGTGTGTGTGTGTGTCCGTTCCATCAGATGGTGATGATGACCCTGCAGGTCTGTCCTGGGTGCCTTCCTCACCCTCCAGTAAGGATGTGGCGTCACCCTCTCAGATGCCCGATGGCTGCTGTGACCTTGACATGGTGACCGGAGGTGAGGAGGAAGGCGGTGCCGGCCTGCCGTACCCCTGCCAGTTCTGTGATAAATCCTTCAGGTAGGTTCTTCACCATCCTGCCTGGGTAAACACAGGAGTCAGGATGTTTCTCCTCAGATCTCACTCATGAATATCTGTGTGAACAGAAATTAACTACACTGTCTGTATTAGCAGAATAAAGTGCAACACAAAGGGAATGAAGTGAATACATTTCTCACCAATCTCTCTGGGGATGCAGTCATGATCCATTTTAAGAACAGCTGTCTTCCTCACACTCCGCAGTGATCATCATTATTCTCAGTATTAATCCTAACTGGCTCTTTCCTCTTTCATTAGCATCAACTGTTTGAATGACGCGTTTTAAAGAAGAGCTCTGAGCTGCTATTTCTTACTGATTCACTCTTGCTGCTTTAGCATTATTTTTGGGATCATTTTATATTAACTTTATAATAACTAAACCTTATTTGGCCTTAATCATTAATAAATGGATAGTTAACATTGAAAATCTCATTAATTAATGATGAGTCATACTTAAGCTATAAATAAATGCATTTATAAATGTTTTATGCATTAATATTACTCCCAACAACATACTCGTTTATTATATATTATATATATTATAACACATTAATATTTATATATTTGTGTATATTTATCTACAGGGGTTGGACAATGAAAGTGAAACAGCTGTCATGTTAGTGTGGGAGGTTTCATGGTTAAACTGGACCAGTCTGGTGGTCAGTCTTCATTAATCACACATTGCACCAGTAAGAGCAGAGTGTGAAGGGTCAGTTAGCAGGGTAAGAGCACAGGTTGGATCTAAATATCACAATGTACACAACATTATGGTGACATACCAGAGTCCAAAAGAGGACAAAGTGTTGGTGCACGTCTTGTTGGAGCATCTGTGACCAAGACAGCAAGTCTTTGTGATGTATGAAGAGCCACAGTATCCAGYGTAATGTCAGCATACCACCAAGAAGGACCAACCACATCCAACAGGATTAACTGTGGACGCAACAGGAAGCTGTCTGAAAGGATGTTCAGGTGCTAACCAGGATTGTATCAAACATACATAAAACCACAGCAGAATTAAATGTCACCTCAACTCTCCTGTTTCCACCAGAACTGTCCGTCAGGACCTCCACAGGGTCAATATACACAGCCAAGCTGCTATAGCCAAACCTTTGGTCACTTGTGCCAAACGTTGGTTTCATTGGTGCAAAGAGCACAAATCTGTGAAACATGGATTGTTCTCTGATGAGTTCACCTTTACTGTTTTCCCCACATCCAGGAGAGTTAGTGTGGAGAAGCCCCAAAGAAGCATACCACCCAGACTGTAGCATGTCCAGAGTGAGGCATGGGGGTGGATCAGTGATGGTTTGGGCTGACATATCATGGCATTCTCTTGGCCCAATACTTGTGCTAGATGGGTGTGTCACTGCCAAGGACTACTGAACCATTCTGGAGGACCATGTGCGTCCAGTGGTTCAAACATTGTATCCTGAAGGTGGTGCTGTGTATCAGGATGACAATGCACCAATACACACAGCAAGACTTGCATTTGAACTGTTGCTGCGATCAGAGTGACGTGGAGTTCTTACCCCAAATCAGTCTTTTGTCTTTAAACACAGAACTGTGTAAAACACCAGGAAAGACACATTCCTCTCCTCAGTTCAGTTCAGTTCAGTTCAGTTCAGTTCAGTTCAAGTTTATTGCCATTTACAGTAAAAAAACTACATTGGAAAACAGCTGCAAGAGCCCACATCCTCACATGCACACAGAAAAAAACAAAAGATTATAAAATAATTGAAAACAGTTAAAAAATTAAAAATTAAAAACACTGAACACAGAACCCTTCATCTGCAACAGACAAAAATTCACAGAACACATTACGTTACATGTTACTTGATAAAGTTAATGTGTATTATTCAAAGCCCTCAGAGCCTGTGAGAAAAACTATTTAAATGACGAGACGTAGTACATTTGGTGGAACAGTACTGTCTCCCCGAGGGAAGAAGCTCAAACAAACCTACAGCCTCTTCTTTAGAAAAATGTCCTAAAAACTGTTACATCAACCATGATTAGTATTTACCTTTAAAAACATTTGGTTCTTGGATAGTAATGCTCTCAGGCTTCAGTTGATAATAAAATAAACATGAGATACGTTCTGGGGTGGGGTCACCACCAACACTGTTTATGGTGGGGATGGAGCTCTGCTGACCTCAACTCAGGACGTTGTGGGTCTGTGGACAAAATACTTCGAAGACCTCCTCAATCCTACCAACACGTCTTCCCACGAGGAAGCAGAGCCTGAGGACCCTGGGTCAGACTCTCCAGAGCCTGAGGACCCTGGGTCAGACTCTCCAGAGCCTGAGGACCCTGGGTCAGACTCTCCAGTCTCTGGTGCTGAGGTCACTGAGGTGGGTAAAAAGCTCCTCGGTGGCAGGGCACCGGGGGTGGATGAGATTCACCTGGAGTTCTTTAAGGCTCTGGATGTTGTGGGGTTGTGTTGGTTGACATGACTCTACAATATCACATGGACATCGGGGGCAGTTCCCRTGGATTGACAGACCGGGGTGGTGGTCCCCCTGTTTAAAAAGAAGGACCACAGAGTGTGTTCCAACTATGGGGGGATCACACTTCTGAGCCTCCCTGGTAAGGTCTATTCAGGGGTCCTGTAGAGGAGGGTCCGTCAAATAGTCAAAATCCGGTATTCAGGAAGAGCAGTATGGTCCTGGTCGTGGAACACTGGACCAGCTCTACACCCTCAGCAGGGTCCTGGAGGGTGCATGGGAGTTCAACCAGTCTACATGTGCCCCAAGTGGAGGAGTTTAAGTATCTCAGGGTCTTGTTCATGAATGAGGGAAGAATGGAGCAGGAGATCAACAGGTGGATTGGTGCTGTGTCTGCAGTGATGTGGGTGTTGTACCGGTCTGTCGTGGTGAAGAGAGCCAGAACCAGAGGAAGACCCAGGACACACTGGAGGGACTATGTTTCTCAGCCGTTCTGGGAACACCTTGGGATTCCCCCAGAGGACCTGGCCCAAAAGGCTGGAGAGAGGGAGGTCTGTGTCTCTGCTGAGGCTGCTGGCCCTGAGACCTGACCCTGGATGAGAGGAAGAAAACNGGTGTATGTGATATAATGTATGTGCAGTACATGTGGTATATGTGCAGTATAGGTGGTATATGTGCGGTATATGTGGTGTATGTAGTATATGTGGTATATGTGCAGTATATGTGGTATATGTGGTATATGTGTGGTAAATCTGGTATATGTGTGGTAAATCTGGTATACGTGCAGTATATGTGCAGTATATGTGGTATATGTGTGGTATATCTGGTATATGTGTGGTAAATCTGGTATACGTGCAGTATATGTGCAGTATATGTGGTATATGTGTGGTATATCTGGTATATGTGGCATATGTGTTATATATGTGGTGTATGTGGTGTATGTGATATAATGTATGTGCAGTATATGTGGTATATGTGCAGTATATGTGGTATATGTGCAGTATATGTGGTATATGTGCAGTATATGTGGTATATGTGGTGTATGTGGTGTATGTGATATACTGTATGTGCAGTATATGTGGTATATGTGCAGTATATGTGGTATATGTGCAGTATATGTGGTATATGTGTGGTATATGTGGTATATCTGGTATATGTGG